TCTCTCTTCGACCTAGCGTACAGTGCGTTTCGGAGTTGTATCACTTGAGAGGGGTGGAGCAAAACAATGAGAAGAGGTAATGCCAGCAAAGATATACACAAATTTCAGTCACCTGTTAGGGCATTTAGAGCGAAACCAGGACACACTGTACACCAAAGGTCAGAGGAAAATTTACATTATTATTATAATTTTTGTTTAGAATCAACCATGGCAAGTCACACTTCTTTTGTATGAGAATTCCGGCGACTGTTTGCGAACAGAGTTAACTTCCGATCGAGGAGAATGGGCATGAGAAATGTGGTGGAGGACGAGTGGAGTCCTTAGCCAGCCAGGCTGAGATCCATTCCCTTCCTTGAGAACCGAACCCGCTAAAACTTAATGTTGTTTTCCGCCGGCGCCAGAGTAGTGTATAAAAAAAGCTGAGGAAGCTGTAGGAGATTGTGTAGGAAAACAAGTAAATTGCCTTAGGGTTTCAGTAGAAGTTAAACGAAAACTAAACAAGTTACTTATGTACTTATGACTTACTTTTTTAAATTATTTCCCCTTATCGGCGGCTTTGAGCAAAACGTGTGACTTTGCCTTAAAAAATAAAAAAGGGGGTTAAAAAGCAAATATATAACTACGGGTAAACCTCTCCCCACACACCATAAACACCAAGGAAGGGCACTAAAGTATTCCGTAATCCCAGCTAGTAACCGAATGTCACACCTAACACACACACACACACATATGAGCTGGCGGAAGTAAGTGGAATCTTTTGGGGATGCGCCGCCGCAGCCACCGCCGCCTCTCAGTAAAGCTACCGAATAAACTAAGTAAACCCAGCAGCCTCTCTAGGGGGTGTTAAAGAAGAATCAATTAAGTGCCAGCCCCTGCCTCAAGAGTCACAACCTATATACATACATGACATCGTAATTAATAACCGAACAGAACTCGAACTCGAATGTCCCAGCGAAAGATTCCAGTTAGTTCCGAGGCAGCCTTGCGAAATGTCTTCACATGTGCGGACGAAGAATGAGGAAGGACGAAGGACGAGGAAGAACAACTGTTTCAGAATGCTAATAACTATGATAACTATGATTTTTAGCAATTTATATATATAAATTACATATATACATACATATACATAGATAACGAATTATGGAAACTTAAACCTAAAACTAAATCTAGACCGAAAAGAGAGATCACAAACAAAGAAACAAACAAGTCAACAGGGCACAGCGCTTCTTAACTATATATAAATATTCATTTCGACAAGCAGAACTTTTTCTAAAAGCCTAAGAAGAACCTAAAAACCTAAAGAAAACCTAAACCTAAACCAAACCAAGTACATGTAAAACCAACGCTAATCTTAAAACTATAACTAACTTTTTAAACTAATATTGAAATTGAACCCAACAAAGTGTTCATTAAACTAAAAAACAAACGGATTACATGATTATGTACAAGCATGTATGTATATGTATGTACTTAACGTTATATACATTAAAGAAACAACACAACATTTTGTATGGCTATGGCAAAAAAACCAAAAATAAAATCCGAAAAAAAAAACATAAGCAGAAGATGGTGATGAGAAGAAAAACCCAACAATTTAGCTAAGTAAATTTAATGTAAAGAGTTTATTGAATAAATTGAGAAACAACCCGAAACAAGAAACAAAAAAAAAGGGGGACAAAACTTTAAATGCAACTTTCATCAAATTTCGAACAAACTTTACGAATTTTCAAAAAAAGAACAAACAAAAAGAGGCAACTGCGCTCTTTACGCCTATCTACCGAACTTCTCTATAAATAACACACATTATATAATATAATTAATTAACAAACGATGAAGATACGCTGACGGAGGCAAGAAAGTTATGGGTTAATCGAAACAGAAAATACTTGCATAGGCATACACTTGTTTTTAGCACTAAATGAATGAGTCTCTTTTGCGTTACTTTTGTTTAACCAAAAATACTAATTAAACCAAAATTAAATTAATATACATACAAAGAAAACATACTATAAAAACATACATACTATATATACATACATTACATATATATAAATAGAGTTTTTTAGATCGAAAAGCCCCCAACTCGAATTCGAACTCGATGAAGAAGCCCAAAGAACCGCAAGAAATCTCGTCTCATCTCTCATGGATGTGCTACACACTAAATTAGTAACTAAACTAAATGAACTAAACTATTGTTAAACCGCAAACACACATACATGCATACATGAAACTCCATTAAAACATTAACTAAATATAACATGAAGCAAAGTTAAACCTCGATTTAAGTAGGCGAGAGCTTGCAGAGGAACGAGCGGAAAAGAATTTGAACTCGAACTCGATAGATCCACAGAAATCCCCCAGAAAACGCAGTTAGGTAAATCGAAATGGAGAAATCGTTAGTGCAGTATAATAAAGAACAAATTGTATTATATCTAAGCCCAAGAAAGTTAAATGAGACAAGTTAAAACCCAATGAGAAACACAACACACACACGACCTAAAACATGTTAATTACATACGCTAAAAACCCGGTAAATAGCTAAAGCCAACCAGAGGAAGAAGACGACAGACCCAGACGGCGGCTATTTATTAAAGTGATTTATAGGGCAGAGTTGAAAACCAACTTTCAGCTAAAATATAGAATAATGAATAAATAAAGTAAAGACCGAAAAACCACAAAAAAATATTTTAAAGCAAGCGCTTGAATTGTACATTTTTACAAGGCAACACACTGTACATTAAGCGCCCACGGCATTAAGTAAAAATAAAAATAAAGAAAAAAAAATAAATAAAAAACAAAAAAGAGTTGACAAGCACATAAAACAAAACAAAAGAAAAAATGAAAATGAAAATCCAAAAAAAAAGAAATTATACGAGACAGCAACAGAGTGTGTGTGCGTGCGCCGGATACACAAGAAGTTGCCTAGCCAGAACGGAAATGAGTTTATTAAATATATACATTTAAAAATTCATAAACAAAACAAAAAGAAATCATGAGGAAGGAAAACCCAAATAATTCGTTGCATAATATTTAAAACGAAGGTAGTATTAAACTCGATTGCCTAATTCTAATATTAAAACCGAAAGAAAACAAAAACTATAAAAACATTAACATTAACAGTAATAATAATAATAATGAAAACAAGAACAACAAAAAATGTTATTATACTTATTATACCGATTAAAATGAAAACAAAAACAAGAAAACCGACAAAAAAATGAAACAAAACAAATTAAAATAAAAATTTTATTTAGATTAAAACGTTTGCACATTTCGCCTGATCTACACACCCGCCTCGCACTTGCTGAGGGGAGGCAAAAAAAGGTAGGTTTAGTTTTAAAATAATATATATTAGGAATTTAGCTGGTCAAAAACTTACCAAATTAGTGTAATGACTAATTAGTTTCTGATTCATTTTAAACAACAGAAAAATAACCAAGAATTAAGGTTTTATAAGTTTTCGAGTAATCCTGTGGTTTATTACTCATACGCAACGTTGGCCAAACTGCTAGAATTTTACATTGATTTAAATTAAATCATTCAAAATTCAAAAGAATTTAGAAATAATAAAAATGTTGTAGGGAATATAATATATAAACAAACAAGAAAGAAAGCTAACTTTGGCCATCCAAAGTTTGTATACCCTTGCAGGTAACAATTAAAATATATCATAACTAAGCCAAAAATGCATTAATTTCGATTCGAAAAGCAGTTTTGTGTCAGTTTTTATTAATTTAAAAAAACTGCATACCAAATCTAAAATTTTAAGAAATCAAAATTTTCGGCCATTTTTGCTCATTTTAATGATTTATTTAATGATTTTTCATTTTATCAAATTTCGCAAAAATGGCCAAAAAATCGATTCTTCCGGACATGTCTAGAAAGATTCGCATGTTAATGCTGATCAAGAATATATATGGTTTATGGGGTCGGAAATGATTCCTTGACTTAGAAAAATATTATTTTGTATTATAAAATCTGATCTTTTATATTAAAAAACTTCTTGATTTTTTTAAAAATTAAAAATATCATAACTCGGCCAAAAGAGCATTAATTTTAAATCGGAAAACTGTTCTGTGCAAGATTTTCTACAGTTAATAAATCTACATACTTCTTTTAAGAATTTCGAAAATTCAATTTTTTATCAAAATCAAAAAGTTTAATGATGTAACCCCTTATAAAATTTTGCAAAAATGGCCAAAAATCGATTTTTTCCTGACATATCTAGAATGATTCCCCTGTTGATGCTGATCAAGAATATATATACTTTATAGGGTCGGAAACGTCTCCTTCACTGCGTTGCAAACTTCTGACTGAAATTATAATACCCTGCAAGGGTATAACAAGAGAATTGAGTCCTGAGATGAAATAGGAAAGAAATTAATTATTACTAAGCCAAAAATTAATTAATTTAAATTCGAAAAGCTTGTCTTTGTTGATTTTTAAGCTAAAAAATTAAGAAAATTGATAGTTCCATTATTGCCATTTTTTTATTACTCATTCGCAACGTAGACCCAATTGCGATAAATTTTAATAGATTTAACAAAAAATTATGGAAAACAAGCGTATAGAAAAGGCTCAAATCGATCAGCACTACAGGTAAGTTTGAAAATTATACATAATTCATCATCAAACCTTATCATTTCTTTATGATCGTCCACCTTTTCAAGTTTGTTCCAAAAACCGCATAGACCTTTTTGGGGGGTTTAAGCAAACGCAGAGCAGCCAAAAATGTTAACAAACAGTTACCACATTTAGCAAACATTAATAAACGCGTTGCCAAGCTGGAGAAGAATGCCAGTTCAAGGTACTGGCCGTCCACTGCGACGGATCCTTATCGCATACGCTCCCAAATCAAACCCACACGAGATGTGTGTGCTCAGGTAGCCGGCGAGGTAAACCTCATGTCGGAATACCCGTCCGTCCATCCATCTCTGACGGCGCTGATAGCGAGTCGGCAATCTGACGTCATAAATAAACGAAGCACGCTTTTATCAGCCTTTTGGTAATAATAATTTTTTGCTTTATTTAAAAACGTCACTACAAAGTTGGTTGCATCATATGGTTAATGGTTAATATTTGATTTCAGATAACACGCAAGTCTGCACTTAAAAATGCGCTACACAAATAGATATCGTAGTTGGGTTTCTTCTAGTTCTTTGTCTTGGCTTCTTGAAAAAAGGTACTAAAGGAATCTGCTGTCATAGCTGCACGCTGTGCCAAGGGGTTTATGAGGAAATATCTTGCTTGTTAAGCCTCCTACATATGCATTTCATAGCTCAACTACAAAATACGTTTACAAATATATATATATGTATGTATATATAAGTGTGTGTTTGTGTAAGTACATAGATGCTTGGTCATTACATCCATGCGAGGGAAGGGCTAAGATTAACATTCATAAATTATGCACAAAATAAATATATATATATTCGCACTTAAAAGTCCTAAGAAAAAACATCACCGCATCTCTTTGCGTTCACGGCTCTTGGCCATTCGATTGAATTGCATTGTCGTTGGAGGCGGCATCAGTGGTTCCTCCGCAGTTGCGCGGTGCCTGCAACAGATCGGTGTATTGGAGCAAGGCCTCGCGCAGCGATCGTGACACCTCCGGCGACGTTGTGGTGGTGCAGTCCACCAGGTATGGATAGAGGCCAATAAGCTGATCCCAGGCGGGCTTGTTTACTGGAGGAAAAATAATGATAAGGAAAAGATCAATCCAGTATCGATGTATTGATTTGATTTTCCCTTACCCTTTGAGGCCGGAGCTTTTTTCATGGACACCACCAGCGTGGCAATGGCTTTGAGCACAAAGGATATCTCCGACAGCCGAAATCTGCAAGAGTTTGCAAAGGATTATGGTGATGGTGTCTTACATTTTCTGATATGAGGAACTCACCTTGGCAAGGGACACTTGCCGCTTTGCCGCTCATCGTCGTTGAAGCGCTTGAGCACCTCCTGGAAACGGTGAAGCAGAGCGGTAACCGCCAGCCGCCCGGCAAAGTCCTTGCCGCCCGTTGCTCCTACTGGCAAGAGATTGGCATTCAGTCGGTTGTTGTTGGCGTTGGCATGATCCTCCAGCAGTGAAAACTGCAGCAGGGTCTCAAAGCACGTCTTGGCAAAGATCTCGCGCAGCTTCCAGTCGGACTCGTAGCAGATGTTCGTGTCCGAGGCGGAGTGAATGGATCCTTTATTCAAGAGCACCACAATTTGCATGATAAACTGGTGCGGCATCTCGTGGGCATGAGGCAGCACCTCGTCCCTCAGCAGCTCTATGACCTGACAGTCGATCGTCTCATCGAGCACGATCTCCTCCAGGCCGCGATCCTCCACTGTGCAGACGCTGGCTGGAAACAGGAACTTATCCAGAGTGTCTGCCAGATCATCCCAAAGGCTGACAAAATGCTGGGGCTTGGCTCGCGCCACTTTCAGGCCTGTGTGCAGGATGCTTATCAAACTGGAGATGGCCAGCTTCCAAGTGCTGGACGCCAAACACTTGTACTTCATAGCCAGCGGAGTTCGCAGCGCCTTTACAATGTCGTGCAGGATCTGCTCCTGCACCACCGGCTCCTCGGTGGCCGTTGTCTGGTACAGCTTCACACAAATACTGATGGACTTCTCGCCGAAGGGGATGTAGTTCATGCTGACCACCTCCACAGAGGCATTGTTGGAATAGTGACCCGCCGATGACTTGGCGTACTTGTGCTCAACACTCTGCTGGAAGGTGGGCGGGGCGCAGGCAAACTTGCTGAAGATCAGCAGCTGGCGGAAAATGGCGGGAATGAGCTGGCGTATGTGCGAGTCGTTCTTGGTGGCCTCCTGTAGGAGATTATAGATGGTTAGGTATGAAGTTAACTGATTCCAGGTTTACTCCCTCACCTTCTGTATAAGCTCCATGCAGTCGAGAATGCCATCGTGGAGGGGCGTAAGCAGCGTGTCCGAAACGGTGGACATGATGTAGGGCACCGCATCGGTTTGGACGGGAATGCACACCGCATTGGTCAGCACCGTGCAGAATTTGTCAAAGTCAGCGGAGCTAAATCTATAATTTAAAAGGATATAAATAATATAATATAAAAAATAATGCGGATTTGCCTACTTGACTTGGATGTGCTGGAAAATGGCGGGAAAGATTTGGATCAGGGCCGTAAGGAAGGCCTGACTGGGAATGTAAAAGTCGTCTTGGCTGTCGGCGCCACCGCTGTTCTGCTGCTGCAGCTTCGTTGTGGCCGAGGTGGACATCTTGGTGCTCTCCATGCCAATGCTCAGCCAAATGTTCCAGGCAATCTGCTCAGGAAAAGTATAAATTGAAATAGGTGAAGGTTTAAGGAAAAAAAGCTAAAGGCAACCAAAAACCTATCAAAAACGAGCTCCAAGGTTAACCTTCCTAGCTCCACTCTACCCCATACACTACTCACAGTCCAGATCTCCTCGTCCTGCTCCTGAGCCGTCTGTGGATCCTTGAGAGATCGCTCCGTTCGCTCCGTGGAATTGTAATACATGATCTCCTGCAGGGACTTGAGGGCGGCCAGCGATACCTCGCCATTTTTGCTTAGCGCCGCATTCTGGATAAACTCAAGGATCAGGGACCAGGCCCGCTCAAAGTCGCCCAGCTGCTGGAGCAGCTCCCGCTTGGTGTTAAACACCCGACACACACCCGATAGGGTCAGCACCTGTGTTTCCGCCCATTGCTTCTGGGCGGTGTTGCGAGAGTGATGGATGAGGATGTTGCCGCTGGCATCAACCTTCTCGTTGCTGGCCGAGCTGCTTAGAGCGCGCACGTTGTCCAGCAGCGGGAAGAGCACCTGCCAGACCAGCGCCTGCCATGTGGGCGGATTCAGCAGGCTGCCGTGGGCCGAGATGGTGGAGAAGAGCGTCTGGCCGGCTGATTTACGGACAGCCGGACGCAGATCCACACACAGCTCGCCCAGCTTGGCGTACAGGCACATCCACAACTTATCGAATTGAGGCATTTTTACAGTGCCCGGGAAATCGGGCAGAATGGACACGTCCTGGAGCTGCGTGGACATGAGCTTGTCTTGGTTCTGATTGAAGAAATCTGAAATGTTCCACTGATACCGGAAGGATTAGGAACTGTTCCTTTCGGGACATAAGGCTACTTACCATTAGGCCAATGGCCGTTAGTGAGATGTTTAGCTCTTGGGTCTGGGACCCGAACTTGGCCGCCGTGCTGATGCACAGGGGCAGGCAGCGCCAGGGCATTACGGTGAGAAAGTCGGTGATGACCAGTTGCAGGCACTGGAAAGCCGTGCGTACCAAAGGCTCGCCATGGTGCTCGTTGACAGCGCCAATGATCTCGATGATGGCCGGCCAGCCAAAGGAGAGGATCTCACCGGCGGTGTTCAGAATCTGAAGGACGCAGTCCAGCTGCCGTTGGCGTACATCTGCATGCAGGACAGTGGACAACTCGGACAAGGGACTCAGCAGCATGGTTTGGAGTTCCTTTAATTCAAAAGATATAATTTAATATTAATTGGGAAATTGGAGAACTTGAAATCACCCACCATGTTCTCCTTGAGCGGCGTCTTGTGCTTGAACTGCAGTGCCGACTTGACCAAGTAGGTAATGGCCTCCACGCCCCACTCTCGCATCCGTATGTGCCGGTGCTGACACACCTCCAGCAGATGGTTGGTCAGCGGCCGCCACAGCACCTTGATGCGCGGCATATTCACCAGGCCCGTCTCCAGCAGCTTGGCCACCGCAAATAGGGATGGCTCCCGATTGGCATAGGCCAGTTCCATGGCCTCGTGCGAGAGTTTGCACAGGGCGTCGATCAGATGATGCAGCGCCACGTCGTCCAGGTGCTGGCTGGACTCAAAGAGCTGACTCAGCATTTGTGACAGCACCGGAAGATCGGCCATCACGGCCGTCTGTATGCCCACATTCGCCTCCACTGCTGGCTTGGGCATGGCCTGGAGACTGCCGCCGGTGGAGGGCTTCAAACCCAGGATCCACACCAGATGCTGTAGCGTCTGCAGGACAATGTGCCACGAGGTGCCCAGTATGCCACCATTGTTGTGCGCCAAGAAGAGAATGGCCCGCATGCACTGCAGATTCTTATTGGTCAGCATCACCGGCGCCTGCATCACGCTGTGCGGCAGCGAGGCGGAGGGCAGCGGTGTGCCCACAGCCACGATTTGGGGCCGGAAGTCGCCGTTATCCCCACTGCAATTGTTGATGAACTGACTGCTCAGGTCCTGGCTGCCACTGCGGGTGTGGCATCTCAGTTCCCCGTCCGCCTGGGTGGCGGTGTTGGCGAATATGGACATGGCATAGTGCGGCGGAAAGGAAGCCCGGCACATGGCCATGATGAAGGCATCGCGCGGCTGCAGCTGCTCCAGCATGCCGCAGAGAGCAGCATAGTTCTGCATGGCCTTGAGGATATTCTCGGTGGTTGCCTCATCAATAGACGTCTCTACCAGGGGGATAAAGGCGCTGAGGAGACCCGACCAGCTGGAGTTGACCAGCTGCAGGCACAGTGGTTTGTGCTCCTCCTCGGTGATCACGGCCATGTTGTGGCTAGGATGCAACTCGGGCGTGCGCTGTATGACGCCGCCAATGGACCTGGTCATGTCCAGGAGTATGGCATGGCCAACGGAGATGCCATAGCTGTCGGGTATGTTCGGAGCATCCAGCTTGTCCAGCATCTCCAAACTGCAGGGAGAGATACAGTCAATTTTATTAGGGTTTCAGGATAAAGGTAGCCTTCTGGTTCACTTACTAAACTGCCTTCGATATGCCGGGCGCAAAGGTGGCCACCAGCGGAAGGTAGGCCCCGCGGAACATGAAGCCGCACTGATTGTTGCCCGACAAAGCCGATAGCGTACTACCCATCCCGTTCTGCTGGCCGTTCAGCATGGCCGAGGCATTGATCAGGGAGTACCGCACATAGCTACCCATGGCGGCTATCATGTCGTGGACAATGTTGGTGGCATGGTTCTTCAGGTCGTACGACTTGCAGAAAAAGGCAATCAGGGAGGAGCGCGTCACCAGCTTATGGATGACCTCCAGAGCCAGAGCCCGTTGCCAGGCGGGCTTATCCGGATCCAAGAACTTGATGATCAGCGACAGGAATATCTCGCACTCGGTCACCAGGATAGTGTGGTACTTCTGTATGAGAATGGCCACTAGGCGTAGCAGTCGCATGCTAATCGGGAAATAGGGCTTCTCGGCCGGAACGGGGGCATTGCCACTGCTGGGAGCCGCCGGTAGCTGGCGGTGCTTCACGTTCGGTGAGAAGAGCTTAATGACCAAGGCACAGACCCGCTCCTTGAGCAGCAAACGGAAGTCGTTGCTCTGAAAATGGGGAAAGGAATGTATGCAGAAATCCTTAAAAGTTTGCTTGTGGAAAACGCACCTCATGGAACACGGCACTGAAGTTGGTGAGCACGGCCTCCAGCAGCTCCAAGCCAAAGGTTCGCGTCATCTCGGTCATGCCCACCAGCCAGTACGGCTGCTCGGCGTTCACCAGCTGCACTAGATCCTGGAACAGCAGGAATGCATCTGAGGCAAAGGTCTGCACATCCTGACCCACGCCGCCCTCGGCCGCCTCCGCTGGCGAGGCACTCGTCGGCTGCTGCTGAAGACTCTGCACAGAGTCCTTCTCCAAGTAGACACGCTCGAAAACCAGCGACACCAGCTGGCGGATGGTGGCCCCCGCGGTATTGACAATAGTGGGATTCTTTGTGTAATGCAAGCGGAAGCACAAAACCAAGGCCTTTGCCAAGGTGTCGCCATGCACCACCGTATTGGTAGTCAGCAGCAAAGTCACCGTTTGCAGCACCTTCACCTCCTCAATGTTGTTCTCCATGAGCGTCCACAGTGCATTAGTGATGTACAGGGCGCCCTTCTGGTCCACAACCTGCTGAGTGATGAGTCGCTGCATCATGCCCAGGCAAAACTGAAGGAAAAGGAGGATGTTAGTTCAGTTAAGCTTTAGCCTGAGTCTACACTGAGTCACCTTAATGATCTTCAGATCCTTGGTCTCACATCCCTGAACCAGAGGATAGAGTATCTGGTTGACGGTGTAGTAAACGGAATTCTGTTGGCTGCTGCCGGCAGAGCAGAGCTTGGAAATTGCCTCCTCGCACGCCTGATCGGGGGGAACAGGAACAGTAATAGAAGAAAATTAATGCCATTGGAAATGCCATAAAATCAATTTCATTTGCACTCGCCGCTATCAATTTCATAATTGCGTAGAAAAAGCACAGGTGGAAAACAGAGAAAATCACCCCCCCGCCCGCCACGACACACATCGCCACACCACACCACACCACACAGCTGGGGGGTGACACACACGGACAAGTGCCGCAATTAGAGAAGAATGGCCGTGAAAACACACACGTCAGCCATGCAGGAGCACTCACCTCCTTGATCTGAGGGTACTTCTTCTTGGTCTCCAGCGAGAGCGTCTTGAAGTCCGCCTGCAGCGCCTCCACAAACTTGTGCCCATCCTGGCCCCCGCCTCCGCCCACGAACGACATGGTCACTGCTGCTGCCGCTGGTGGCGAATCCAACTACACTGACTACTGGCTACTGGCTGCTCCGCGACGAAGGACAATCACTGCACTAGCTGCAGGCCACATTTAAGTACCAGAACCGATGCCCACATATGCAACGCAAGCACTCGCAAAAGTGTAATAATAAATAATATCGTGGAAATAGCCGTGAAAATTTGTGATTCGTTTTGACAGCTGACGTACACAGTGCAGTGCAGTGTTGGAAAGCGTGCGACCGGTCATGTTAGGTCATGATAAAATTATATAAGGTAGTCCACATAATACAAAAATCATGATATCCTGTGAATCCTTATCCACTTCCGGAGGGGTCTATATATTTAAGATTTGTATAATATTTATCAATAATAATGAATAAAATGTAGTAATATCATATAATATAAATGTCAATGATAATTATTATTTTTTATTAAAAGAAAATAAATAAAAACCAGTACATAATTATTATTGAGAAATGATGATTTATAATAATTAAATTTAATTATTGATTAAAAAAATGTTATATATTTTATAACTTGCGGTCCCTGGTTATCATGGCTCTTAACAGTGCTGTTATGGGCAGAGCAGTTGCCAGGAGTTCGTTATGTCGCAGCTGGAAGGATAATAATATTGCAAGCTTAAAAAGTGCCAGGCTGGGTTCGGGCAAGGACCCAAAGGTCCCATAAGTCCAAAGCCCAGCTAGCCTAGCTGAATGGACATGGTTTCTACGCAGAAAAATGCAAATAAAAGGAAAAGGATTCGCCTGAAAACCAAAGGATATCCAGGCGGAGACCCGAAATCCAGAGTAAGTGGTCAAGTGTGCATTTCATTCGCTGCCAAATTGTAGTGTTATTTATGTAAACCAGACTTTCTGGGGCTTTTCCGACAGCTTAAAGGATTTACAACTGAAATCCAGGCAAATAACAGGACATTAAACCTGCATAGCTATGGCAGCAGGTATACTGCGCTTCATCCTAATCCTAATCCTCGTCACCTTCACCATTTTTTCGTACTTGTCGAAATCAAGTATCATGGCTAAACTGAATTTGGGGCCATCGGAACCGTCAGAAAACAAGGATCCTTTAAACGCCCCCTCAGCAAGTAGTAATAATACGTCGAGTACAAGTTACTGGACTTTGGACTCTGATGTTGGTACCTTGGGAAGTACTGGCAACAACAACCATATCAGGATCGGACTAGTACCTTTTTCAGACCGCTTAAGGGATAATAAGCAGGGTAAATATTTAAGGATTTTTTTTAATATATTAAAAGAACTCTTAGTCCACAGATAAACCATTTAATTTGGTATCTTTGGGTAGCAAAGCTCCCATCCGAATCCCACTCGCTGGAGCTATCTATAGGCCCGGCCATCTTGACAACGAAATCGACATGGAGAGGATATGTCCCCGCGACGGACTCTTTACCAAATTGCTGGTTCTTATTACCTCGGCTATAAGCCATGGCGCAGCAAGGATGGCCATACGCCAGACGTGGATGCACTACGGCTTCCGCAGAGACGTAGGCATGGCCTTCGTCCTGGGACATGGCAAAGACAATAAGCAGAACAAAGTCCTCGATGACGAGGATTTCATGTACCGCGACCTGATAAGGGGTCACTTCGTGGACTCGTATAACAACCTCACGCTCAAGACCATGTCCTCGTTAGAGTGGGCACATCGCCACTGCCGGCGTGCTAGGTACGTCCTCAAGACGGACGACGATATGTTCGTCAATTTCCCCAAACTGCTGTCTTTTCTGGACAAGCTCAAGGCAAATCGAACCATCTACGGTCGTCGTGCTGATTACTGGAAGCCAGTTCGCAATAGGTGGTCCAAATACTACATATCCATTGACCAATATGCGGAGAAGGTTTATCCCGCTTTCACCACGGGACCCGCCTACCTCCTCACCGGTGATATCGTGGGCGACCTTCTGAATCGCTCGCTCAGGACCCCCTTTCTGAAGCTGGAGGATGTCTTTATGACGGGCATTGTTGCCGAAAGTCTGGCCATTAAGAGGGTAAATGTACGCGAGATCGCCAATATTCGCGTGGACCTGGACGCCTGTCGCATCCGTGACAAGATCACAGTGCACATGGTGAGTCCCAACGAGCAGTTTGAGGCATGGATGAAGCTGCTGGACGATTCCATTAAGTGTAAAAATGGATATATGTTACGTAATTCCAATTAAGTTGAACAAAATGTGTTGTATATATTTTGCATACAAAAATTAAAACGCTTGCTAAAAATATTTAAGAATATTTGTTTTAGAATACTTCAAAAGCTTTTAAATAAAAAGCTAGCTCTTTTTTAACCTTTTTTTAGACAATACCTTTTGTAAATAGTTAGTTTATCTATTGTTATTAAATAAATAGTAAACACATGATCGCTTTTAATATAAAATATATTTTAAAAAATCAAGTTATGTACAATTCAGAGCCAGCAAGAAATAAAACTAATGCAAGGACTTTAAACATTAAAGGACTCTAACATGGAAGACTTCAGCAGGCCGCGATGCCACCTAAAGGGCACTACTTTGCTGGTAAACATAGAACTCCTCATCCTCATCCTTAGTATCCGACTTGACCAGCCGCAGCTTTCCCTCCTTCTGCAACTTGCTAAGGTGATGGTTTACATTGTAGGCGGCGGCTGGCCAAAGATTCTCCGGCGTCTCCTTGTAGACCACCCGCACCACATCCATCGCTTGCCAGCGATCGTTGGGTCGCTGGACGAAGAACTCGAGGATCTGCGCTTCTCGCTGATTGCGATGGCTAATGTAATACTCGATTTTGCCAATAGGTTCCTCGATAACATTGCCATGACCCGGGAAGATGCGCAGCGGCTTGATGTCCAGTATCCGCTCCAGGCTCTTCATGTACTCGAACAGATCCTCAAAGACGGCGGTACCCTCGCCCAGGATGCAGTCGCCGCTGAAGAGGGTGCCCTCGTTCATGGCCAACACCACATGATCGGTGGTATGTCCTGGCGTGTGCACCACTCGCACATTGGCTCCCTCCGTCTGAAATTCCTGGTTGTGCGCCAACGGATGGAGCTTAATGTGCGCGGGTATCTCAGGGCACACATCCTGGGCATCCGTGCGTTTGTATTTAAACACGCGACAGTCCTTATCCGCCAACTTGGTGCCCAGAATGCTCTTTACTCCGCCTACATGATCGTGGTGCCAGTGGGTCAGCAGGATGGTGTCGATGGAGGCCTGCTCCTGCTTCAACACATCGTTCAGGTGCTCAATGTACTGCGGCACATCCTCGTCGCCGGTGTCGATAAGGATTCTCCGCTTCCCACTGCCCAACAAGTAGGTGTTCGTGCCCTGGAGTGTCATGGGACTGGGATTGCAGCCCAGGATCCGGATAACGGATGAGGTTAGCCGGGTTACGGCCGGAATCAAAGCCATTTTATCGTTCACGCAATCTAAAAAGACGAATTTAACTGCTGTATAATGATGATGCGCAAAGTTGGTGCCGAGACAATAACCAAATACGTACGTAAAGACACTAACAAAATAAGCCACCTTAAGAAGAATATTTTTAAGTTTCTAATCTTTCGTAGACTCCGATTAAACCCGCTTATTGTTGCAATTAAAATGAACTTTGCTCTTATCAATATAGTTTTGTTACCCAAATTCTAACAGAACAGCTGTTCCAAACAGTGTTGGTAAGCGTAAGAAATAGTGTCAGTTTGCTGTTATGCTTATGGTTATTTTATTCATATAAATTAATAGGAGAATAATTTCTTTCCGTTTAAATTAATATAATTACTTTCAGTGCAATATGTGAATCCCCCGAAATGCCACCAAGAAACCCCTTCTCCATTAGTGTGACCAAAAGGGTCAAGTTAACCCCATCCCAGTGATATTTTCCGCGCACTCGGCCACACTACGCTAACGTTGAGCTAATCGCGGAACAAGAAATTTCGGTTGGAAGTGGGAGTAATGTGCGGCCCACAAAAAAAGAGGAAAAAATTGGGATACGTGCTGCCGCTGTAGCAGTTGTGCAAAGCCTCAAAAGTGTCATATAGCAAAAGGTGAAAAAATAACCCTTCTTGCAATTTGCAAACTGCGCGAGCGAAGAGAAAATCCGTGGAAACGCGTTCATAAATCAGAGTCTGCTGTGCGGTCCAATGAAACAACAAAAACGCGAGAAGCAGCTCCTATGCTAATGCTTATTTATTTTTAAAACATGCTACGCATGACTAATGAAACGGGTTGGCGTTATTAAAGACGATAAAAAAAAACCGAAATACTCAGCTAAACTTAAAACTACCCAAGGCTCTGGGGGCAAACACACACACACTCGCAAAACACACACACACACACAACCGAGCAACTTTTGTGGTGGCGCCTAGGGTCCAACAACAACAACTACAACAATAGGCCATAATAGGAGGATTACCACTGCTGCAACAACAATACACCACAAACAACAATTCATCATTGAAGAAGAAAATTTATTAACGCTAAATAAACACTAAAAATAAACAGGCAACAGCAAGTAATTATGCTTGACCCTGGTCCAACAATAGCCGTCGTTGCCGTTGCCGTCGCCGCCACAGCTATATCCGATTCCGAATCCAAAGCAAGTGCAAGTGAGACGCCGCTAAAGCCACGCTTGGGAGGTGAGTTCGCTTACAGCTGGAGAAGATTGGGCGACGAGACGAGACGCAACGACGATGACGATGCGTTGCCCGGGGTTTTGTTATTTTATTAACACACATATTTATGTGTATTTCTTCGGTTGGGCAACGCAACGCAACGCAGCCCATTTCCAAATCCCAGGGCCGGACATTGCACCATCTCTCGTAGCTAAGCTTAAGTAGTTGGTTTCATTAACACGGTCGATCTTGGACTCTAATTGTTATAGGAATCCCAAAATATGCATATATGTTCGATTTTTAAAGGCCGTATCTTCAAATATGGTAAAAGTTGTATATAAAAAATAATTTCTTTAAAATGTCTAGTAAGTGTGAGTTTGAAAAACTACATGTTTTTGTTTTGTAACATAGTCAATCTTCCTTATCAGTTTCTATTTGTAGAAAAATGTATTAAATTATTAACTAAACAATGAGCTAATAAGCTTTCGTCAACGCCCCAAGTTTGCTTATATTCTAACTGTAAAAATCTAAAGATAATAGTAAATTGTTTTATAATTTTTAAGCATTAGTTAGTCAGTCAGTAGCAACTGTCTCAAGTAGCTGTTATCGCTTATCTACTTATAGATAAGAAACGGTTATTATTATTAAACAGTTAGGCCTTGGTAGTAAATAATGCAGAGTTACAAATATATGATGTTAAAACCGTCCTTTTTGTTTCATATAAAAGATAATACAGAGAAAAACACCCTTAATAATGTATATGTATAACGATATTTCCCACTTTAAATATTATTCCACTAGAGCTACAATAAGTGATAAACCATATTATTTTCCATTAACCATCAGCAAATTGATGGATTCCTTTCTTTAAATAATATTCCAGCGAAATTCCTGCACGAACACTTGTATTGAATATTTATTCGCTGAAAATAAATCATTTTCACAGCTGCAAACCCCTCAAAAACCAGATAAAGTTTCTCCAACAAAACAGAACCACCCAAATATACAGCATTATTTACAAAAGTGCATATAATTTAATGCATCCCGAGAGAAAAGGCCTCCATAAAGTCCAGTGTATACTAAAGACATCTGCTTGCAAACGCGGTAATTAAATTCGAAACAACTACACAGACCACTTTGCTAAGAATTTGTGTACACTCGTCTGATTATAAATTATAATTATTAATTATTGATCGCCTTGATCTGCCCAGGACATTACACCCGACTTTCCACGGGCTAGTTGACTTTTATTAACACGTTTCTGGGTCCAGTTGGATGCCTTTTGATTGATGGCGGGGCAGCTAGGAGATGAAGATAGTTTTGCGACGCCCGAAAACCCGTTTTCCGCCTAACCGGCGATTATCTGCGGTTCATTGTACTTATTAGCAGAGTCGAAGTTGGAGCCGGGGCCACGTAAAGCAGCCAGATTGAAAGCTGGGCCCCACTTCCGCTCCCAACAGCCCTCTGCCCCTCAGCGTGAGCAGTTTTCTGCTGAATTCGAGAGCTACTCTCCATCAAATTACGCGCTCTTGTCAAATTTCACGGCTGTTTGGCAATTTCGCACACAATTACAAGGCAGTTAAAAGAAAAAGAAACGAATTACCGAAGCACGTAGAATAATTACAGGCAAAGTTCTCGCAAATTGAACAATTATAAGCTATCGAGTCGTGAGTTAATGAAATAAAACGTTTAAAACCTGTGGATCTAGGGCAGAGTCAATATCTCTAGTGGTTACAATTGCCATTAAGGTGGCTTTCCATTTATTAATGGCCTCTAACTGTTTGTACTTATATTTTGATAATAAAAGGTTGTATTTATTATTGCAAAGATATTATTTAATATCATTCTATTTCTGACAACCAATACTCATTTGTATAAATCCCCAGTTTCCCTTTATTTTGTTGATAAAACCATACATTCAACTTTATTCAAAGTGCAGAAAATTCTACTGATTGTATGGTAAACATATATAAGCATGGGTACTCCATATTAAGGGAAGTGGAAGTGAGATAAGCGGTCGGTCGGCCTGCGATAATTATAAAGAATTTCCAAGTAAAACGGCCTTGTATTTGAGCAGTAAAGCTTTTGGGCTCAACGCTGCATTTGGCAGTGATTCATCTCATCGCTGATAAACCGCACTTTCGCTCTCGCCGAATAACAAAAGAAAGGGTTTATCTCTTATCAATCCGCTGTGCGCGTCACGCTGCGGTTCCCAATATGATAATGTACACTATAAAAAGCATTATAAATCCGTTTATTAGCTTTGACTTTGTTGTGATAAGAGCCGCAGAGACGATACGACGTTGTTCCCCAAAAAATATTCCATTACTCGCAATCGTCGCGATTCTTTCCGGTTCCCAGGGGCGACCGGTTGACCAAACGAAATTCCATTATCCCCCTTGATGGTGATAAAGTTTATCTACTGATTACCGCCCCTCATTAACTGTCTAAATATACGAAGTAACTCTTTTAATTAAATGTCCGCCAGATGCCATTAAATCTCATTGTCTTATCAAGAGTCTCGTCTATCTCCTTCATATTTGAAATACATTTTCAATAATATCGATTTATGGTTTATGGTGGCAGTAAATAATTGTATTGATAAGTTCGCCTCTAAGTGGAAATACGCAGAAATTAGTTAAGGCCTTATCACCAATGGGAATTTTGGCTAATAAAAAAAAAACAGCAAACAAAACTTCTGGTTTTAACAAATCCCTCTTAGAAATCAATTTGACATTTCCTTTGCTGATTTCTTGAAAAACGTCATTTAAACAAAACGAATTTCTTATGCGAAAGCCACTTTTAGAAATGTAAATCTAGTATCATGGTTTTAATTGAGATTCCCTTTCTGTCAGATAAGATTAGATCTAATTTACCACCAATTGTATCAGGCCAAGACAACGTAATCTAAATTCAATTGCCAGATTTTCTTGACAAGCATTTGGATAAACAGACATACAAATAACTTACCTTTCCAGTTAGACCTGTACCCCGATTAGATAATGCTAACTGTCTGATAATTATTAACTTATCGACAAACAATTAAGACAGCCCACGGACCAACGAATGACGCATGGGGGATTTTCATTAACTTGGCTAAAGACAAGGCAAATCGAAAGTTGTTGGAAGAGTTGCGATTGCCTTATTGATTTCCATAACAAACTGTCGTCGCACCCAACTGGTTCTATTTTTATAGCAACCCAGAGGTAGGGTTGGCATTGCAGCTATACATATATAAAATAAAATGCGACTCCATGAAAGCCCTCTAACTTGAACGAACTCCCAAATGTTGATGGGACCGACCCGATAGTCAATCTTATCGTCCAGACAAGGCGAGTCAAGTGGCTCCGGCGGCGCTGGTCAAGAGTTTCTCGCTGCTGTTGCTGTTTCTGTTCTGCTGCCACTCCACTCTCCGCTTCGAAACCGGGTCAAGAATGCTGTTGGCTTATTTGAGTCGCATGCAAAGTGGAGACGGTGCCCAGAGCGCCATGTCGTGACAGTTCTGGAAGCTGTACGTGCGTGTTCTCGGCTTTTGGGGAATTCATTAGCTCATGGAAACTTCCCAAGTGCTTCCCCATTCGTCATTCTCATTACCATATAAATTGGTGGACATGTTTTTGCCATAAAATCGTTTAATACTTAAGTAGTTGGTGGAAAATCTCTAGAACTTAAACTCTAAATAAAGTTTATTTTTATTTTATATTCTTACAAATACCACCAGAATATAATTCAATTGGTTAGGTCAAAAAGTTTCTCATTTCATTTGCATTCTTGGAAACGTTGAACGTCTAAAGAAACTTTATCTTAAAGTTGAGCTGAAAACTCTACCCAGACTTCAAAAGAATTTGCAGCTTAAATTTGCATTCCAAATAAATTCGAAAAACGTAAAAATATCTTATCATTCAGTCTAGGTAACTCCCACCTCTCTCGTGCTCTCCACAAATATTTAATTTATTTTTTCCTCACTACCAAGGGTAAATGAAGCAAAAAAAACACAAATTTTATGGCTGTAACTCGACTAAAAAATACCTTTGGACGTTCATTTTTAAGAATTTCTTAGCCAAAAGCCTAAAAAAATAAATAGTATACAATATTAGAGATATTTCTATAGTGAAGATCTCCTTGAAATGATTTAATTTCGAAAGGATTGGCCTTTAAATTGGTATAACTATATCTGAAAAATACATAAACTCATTTTGATGATAATTAGCTCGATCTACTTCCGTATGTCGCCAGCTATATCTATATTATTGTGTATATGCCCTGGTATTCCCTGGGTGTACGTACGTACGTTGTGGGAGCACTTAACAAATCAGCACTGAATCAGTTGTTTGCTTAAATTCCCGTCTGTTCTCATTGCAGTCGCACTGGAATCGTTGCAGGGCTTGCAAGCGTCGCCGTTACCACAATAATACTCACCAACACAGATTACTAAACACGAGAGAAACAAAAAAAACAACCAAGAAAACAAAACGAACGCGCGGAGGACGTGGAGGAGGAGGAGGAGCAGAGTCCAGACTGAAACCGAGACCGAGACTGACTGAGATTGTTGCACCATGGTGGCCGTGGGCAGCCTACACAACACGCGCATGCTGCGCTTCTTTTTAGTCCTAATCGTGGTGATCCTCACCATCTTTATCTACGCCTCGTATTCCACAACGGCCACCTTAACGCAGAATCATGTGCATTCGGCGGCATCGCCGCCCCAGCAGCTGATCGGACCGAATCCCATGTTGGTCATCAATACCACAGACAACAAGGATTACGTCCAGCCAGCTGGAGTGGAAACTGCGCCCAAAGTCTCCAGTAGACAGCCAACGGTACAGCAGCAGCAGCAGCAACAGATTCTGCCGCTGGAGGTGCACAGAAAACATGTACAGCACCGGCTGCCCACCATCGATGAGGATGCCCTGCTCGATGGTGGCTCTGCCGGCGCCAGTCCCCAGTTAGGTGGAGCTGCCGAGCAGACGCCCAATGCCATGGCGGATGAGCTGCTGCTGGAGGAGCAGCAGTATGGCCAGAGCGTTGATGGCATCACAGGTGAGTGGAGATTGCAGGTCATTACGATATCATACTAATAATTCTTGTCTTTTGTAGGCAACATAAACAGTAGCAGCAATAACAACGTCAATAACAACGGCACCGGAGACGTGCTTGTTGTCAGGCAATCAGCCGTTCCCGCCTTGCCGTCATCCCAACAACAACAGCAGCCGTCCCAGGTCCAGGCAGGGCAATCCGATGCCGAGGTTCTCATACCTACGTCCAATTTGCAAAAGTTTATCGAGAATGCCGATAAGATACTGAAGAACATCACCTCGAGCAGCGGCACGGGCAATGGAGTTGCCGCTGTCGCGGCCACCGGAAATGACCAGAATACGGGTAAGAGCTAGGAGTATTCCCCTTGGTGCCTTAGCTTTCTTCTGCATAAATCTGGAGAGCAAGGTTTTGAATTAAAGTTGGAATAAATAAGGCCTCCAGGATAAAACAAACCATAATTGCTCATAAAAACGTAAAGATTCGCCTTTAAATTGTTAGTTTTCTGATGCCATTAAAGTCCTATTCCTGTGAATCCCTGTCATTAACGATCCGTTTATGGCAACACCTAAAACCCAGGCAAAGCTAAATATTTGTACAGCCTGACGTCGTGCCCATTTGGTTCAGTCCATGGCAATGGCAATAGCGAATGCCATGTGCCCCGCCAGCTATATATCGCGATTCATTATGGAAGTGCTGTAAACAATCGCAAGTCGTCGTCTTTCCGTCCTATTGGGTTACAGCGCCCAACAACTGGCTGTCTATGGGGACTAATTAGATTCGGATTACCCCCTTTATTTTCGTTTCCATTTACGTGACACAGGAAGCTCTCAACTCTTGGCTTTCTCCTCTCATTCTAGACAAAGGCATTCAGCAGCAAGCGGAGGTGGCACAACCCAATACGGGGGAAATCTCTGAGGCGGAGCAGCCGTCGGAATCCAAGGTGATCCAGGAGATCAAGGAGGCGAAAAAAGAAGCAGCTACAGCACCAGCCAAGTCCGTCAAGCCATCTGTGCCTATTGCACGGACAACGAAAGGCAGGGGAGCAGTTTCCAAGGAGTCGAGTGCTCCGGTGGATCCCTCCAAGGGCGTTATCGCCGAGAAACTGTATGAACAGGGACATCTGGATGATGAAATCGACGCGGAAAGAATATGCCCAAGGGGCGGAGAGTTCATCAAACTAATGGTCCTTATTAGCTCTGCGATGTCGCACGACGCGGCCAGGATGTCTATTCGGCAGACATGGATGCATTACGGCAGCAGGCGGGATGTGGGCATGGCCTTCGTCCTTGGCCGCGGCACAAACGAAACGCTGAACAAGGCGCTCACCCAAGAGAACTTCATCTACGGGGATCTGATACGCGGCAACTTCATAGACTCGTACAACAACCTCACCCTCAAGACGATCTCGACGCTGGAGTGGGCCGACCTGCACTGCCCAAAAGCGAAGTATGTGCTCAAGACGGACGACGACATGTTCATCAATGTGCCCAAGCTGCTGACCTTCCTCGACAAGCACAAGGACAAGCGCACCATATACGGCCGCCTGGCCAAGAAGTGGAAGCCCATCCGCAACAAAAAGTCCAAGTACTACGTGTCCGTGGATCAGTTTGCGGCGGGTGTCTTTCCATCGTTCACCACCGGCCCGGCCTACGTCCTCACCGGCGACATCGTGCACGAGCTGTACGTGCGATCGCTGAAGACGGTGTATCTGAAGCTGGAGGACGTCTTTACCACGGGCATCGTGGCCAAGAGCCTGGACATCAAACGGGTGCAGGCCAATGAGTTTGTCAATCGACGCATCTCGTTCAACCCGTGCAACATCCGCAACGCGATCAGCGTGCACATGATCAAGTCCAACGAACAGTTCGATTTGTGGAAGAAGCTGCTGGACCAGACCACCAAGTGTAAATAGTATTTTAAGTTTAGGGTTTAGAGTAGCGACAGGAGGAGCGAAGAAGGGTGGTATGAATAGAGAATGATTAGCCAAGGCAGCTATTATAGAATTATAGAGTTAGCATTAGTCACTAAGTCCTAGGAATACTTATCACAAATTACGCTGTCCGCGATCCCAGCATTCCGCCTAAGTGCTTGCGGTCCCGACAGCGCATAATTTTAAAAAGGATTTGTAGTTTAATTTTAGCATTCTGAATGCCATTATTTAAATGATAATTACTGAGCGATAACTGTGGTTACATCTTAAACACTAAATACATGAATGTATATCGAGAGAAAACCGAAAAGAGTGACTTTCTTTTTTCATAACATAAATTGCAGATCAATTATTGAACTATCTGAATTCGCAGTAAGTCTACAAAAACGTTTGAAATTCTGCTAGCAATGGAAATACCAATAGATTGCTGGAATGACACACATGACATCAATATTTTATTAGCAAACATATATCAACTAGTTTATTTATGGCACTTATCGCGCTAAAACCAGTTAGACAAATTTAAGACTTGAGCTTGAAGCTTGCTTTTAATGGTTGATCTTCTTCTCTGGAACTTTTACCGCGTAATTATCAAGAGATTGCCACGAGATAAGTCAGAGTGAGTTCAGGGCCCCGACTTATCGGTTATTCTTTGAGAATCAGTACCTGGGAATCTTGCTGGAAATTTACAGGTGGATTTAAAAAATTAATTATTATTTGCCACCTACTACCTGTGCATGTGCATTGAAAGAAACGTGCAAGTTCTTTTTTTGTTTAAAGCTCGACTGACTTTGTTCTTTGTTATTAAAGAAATATGTGACATTTCACAAAGAATTTAATGTGTAATTGGAACCAGAAACCTGATAAAAGTGTTGAACATGTTTAAAGAACTACGTTTTTTATGTAGTAAAGGGTATCGACTTGTGTATGCAGTTTAGAGAGCATATATGCATTTTTTATGGGGCAGATAAATATTAACCCAACTTCAATGCCTTTTACTGTTCAGAGACTGCATAAGTGGAGTTACTTCTAGTTGCTCTTACTTCACTTTAGTCAGCGGTTATAACTTTTTGCAGTAATCAAATGGAGATTTATAATATTCTGCGGGTTTTTCGTTTGCTTTGTTTATTATTAATCATTGCAGCTGCCATTATAGTTTTGGAATGCAAGATTCCTAAAAATCAAAATGAAGAGCTTAAAATTGAGAAAGAAACAATGCCGTTTTCTCATAAAGGTAAGGACAGACTCTGTTTCCAAAGACCTATCTGTCCTATTAAGATTAGATTTAGATAGATTATTGTTTAATTGTTATAACAATGCAGCCTGGTAAGTAAACATTACTAAGAACTTGTGTCGCTACTGCTCGGTAGCAGGTTGGACAAGTTTGATGACACCCACGTGATAAGCATTAATTGCTTCCCGTCTTTTTAGATAACAGCCATAAAGTGGAGCTAACCGATTCACTCGATGGGGTGAAGAGTTTCCACCAGCGGAAGATAAGGCCGTTCTTGGAAGAAACTCCCACAACAGAAATGATTTTGAAGCACAGACCGCAAAAGAGCAAAGCCCCGAGATCGAGCAAAAACCAACTAAGACAATTGGCAGGTGATATCTATGAACATGGACACCTGGACAAGGAAATCGGTGCAGAGCGGCTATGCCCACGGCGAGGAGCTGATACCAAGCTCCTGATGGTGGTCACTTCAGCGCCAGGAAATGCTCAGGCGAGACTTACCATTCGGCAGACTTGGGGCTCCTATGCCAATCGCCGGGACATTGGAATGGCCTTTATTTTGGGCAGGCGAGAGAATGCATCCATTGGCCAGGCTCTTAGCCGGGAGAATTTCCTTTACGGTGATCTAATACGCGGCAATTCGATTGATTCCGTGAATAATCTCACCCTCAAGACGATATCCCTGCTGGAATGGGTTGATCTACACTGCCAAAAGGCCAAATATGTCCTCAAAACGGACGACGACATGTTTATCAATGTGCCCAGGATGTTGGCCTTCCTTGAGACTCGCCAGAATCAGCGACGAGTGATATACGGCATTTTAGCTGAGGGCTTTAAACCAATCCGTAACAGATTTCAAAAATACTATGTGCCAAGGCACCAGTTTGCAGAAAATATGTGTCCTCCCTTTACCATCGGTTCGGGTTATGTGATCAGCGGAGATATCATTCACGAGTTATTCCAGCGATCCTTGGCAACCTTTTATTTGCAACTCGAGGATGTTTTTACCACTGGCCTTGTAGCAAGCAGCTTGGGTGTGCAACGTGTCCGGGCGAAGGGGTTCATAAATAAACGGCATGATTACAATGCCTGCAACGTGCGCAATGCCATTACATTGCACAAAATCAAGCCCCACGAACAGTTTGACCTGTGGCAGAAGCTTCTGAATACGGATATAAAGTGTTAATCTATTTAAACTATTTTCGAAAGGAAACCGTTTTTATTTTAAATTTCAAAATCGAAATTCAACACAATAAAAGGGTTTGTGTCATTACTACACCTTCAGTGACCGATATCGATCAAAAAATAGAACGATTTTTGTATATCGATAGCAAAACTCTGAAATCGTTTAGTGTTGCCAACAGGGGCCGTGAATTACAGCGACGGAGGTCAACCAAAATAGCTACATATTTTTACCGGCAAGGTTATTTTTATTAACAAAAAAAAAATATTACTTTTTAATGGTTATAAATAAGTTTGGATATTTTTGTTAAGTAGCGCTGCAAGAGCATTACCTTATCGAAAAAGCTAAAAACGACAAATCAATTTTGTGAAATAGCCAGAAAACAAACTGCAGCTTTTTTAAGAGGTTAGCCAAATCCGGCTAAATTATAGCTGAGTTGGCAACACTGCAGCCAAGACGAAAAAAAAAGACGCGAAAAGATGTTGTAAACACAACGGTGAGTTAATTTCTAATCAAAGGCCTAATAAGAACTTCGATTCAAGTGTCTTATTATGAGCTTTTAATCGTGGCTAAAATGCTTCTTCGATTTAAGTCAAGCTACGCAAGTACAGCTGTTCGCAGTGCTGAATAAGTGTACGAGTGTGTGTGTAGCATTAACGCCTGCTTACATTGGCCAGTGGCCACAAAGGGTGAACGAAAAAGGTAACTAAAGTATCGGTTGCTACCTAATCCCGGTCGTGCTCTATTTGGTCGGAGGAAATGGTCTGGAACCAAAGCCACAAACGTTGCCCCTAGCAACATCTTGCTTCCTTGCAACCCACTCACACACACACAGGCGGACTCGGATACACGGATATACAGATGCACACTTGAGATCCAAGGTGAAGGAGAGGCACCAAAGGTGTTGAATGAATTATGAGGGTGGGCGGAAGGCTAAATTTTGTGAATGATTCTTCTAGAAGTGTAAAGGTTTTGGCGAAAAATTCTCCGCGAAAGCAAACGTTCCTAATTTGTATTTTTGTGCCTGTCTCATTAGCGGCTTTTCGGACGTCAGCAGGCGTTGACATACGGATACGGTTGTGTGTGTGTGTGTGTGTCCGAGCGTATGTACATTAAATCCCCAGTTAAACGGTTGCTGCTCGCCCCGCTTTAAGCTCGTCTTCTATGTCAGATTATGCAACTCACTCTCTAGTCATCTCCCTCTGTCGCTCTCCATTCTTTGGCTTAATGAAAACGACATTTAAATGAATTGTTTGCCCAATATAATGAGAATCTGCGCTAGCCAGCATCCGGCCAGTAAATAGTTCGTCTAAGTGCGCTATCAGCTGATAAGGCTTCATGTTGGTTAACTGTTCTGCCTAAAAATTCGGCTCTGGGTTCCCGCTAATCTAATTATTGGTCTTACAATATTCGTGGCAGTTTTTTCGCCACATTTTTTGCACTAGTGTTTGACGCACGCAGGTCTGTGTGTGTGGGCCGTGTTGGTTGAAGCTATTTTTGTATCGCTTTTTCGTTATTTTTTGCATTTGTTTTGACCCAGTGGCAGCAGTTTTGACCAGATTTCAGCCACAAAATCGCTTAGTCTTGTGAAATGTATACAAACAACTCTCTAGTGGGGAGTGTTGGGCTCAAATTGTTGATATCAACAACAATATTGACTCTGAATTAGCCGTCTAGGACCTGTGATTTATGCGATTTTTCGATTTTCCTGCCCCATCCGTCTCGATCAGTTTTTGCGGCGAGCTCGTCAGGGCTTATCAGTCTTTAGAGGCTTTTTATGGGTTCGTTGGCTCTTATCAGTCTTCATCCATTGAAAATGAATATATGTAGTATTAAATAGAATATAAAAAGCTTTACGCTTTCTATTTACACAGTATGTCATTGTTCAGTCCCTTCTCGGATAATGTACAGAAAATATTATACAATATAGCATTTTCCTTTATAGTTTCGTTGCCTTTCTCCCCATTGAGTAATCTTTGGGAACAGAATCAAAGCCTGAACGTAATTGCTTTGTTGATGCAGGTTGTGGTTGGGCGGCAATTTATTTTCGATATTTTTGTGTTTATAAACAAATGCGAGAGTCGGTCGCTAAAAGGGAAATTAAAATATATATTAATTCCACAGGGGAAAGCGTTGGGGAACGTTTAATATAAATTTAATTAGGCAAAGTGGCAGATCTCGAGAAAACAGTGATAACTCCGGGTAAAAATTCTAAACATATTTTTAACTTAAATTGAATACATAATATTTTTCATATTCAATTTCGTCAATTTTTCAAATTTTTTTTGTCAAGTAGAAGTACAATTTCAATGTAACAAAGCAGCATTTTATTTTAAATGTATTTCCCCAGATTCATTTCCATCCTTTAGCGTTTAAAAAAGGTCTTAAATATTATATTATCAGTTCTTACTCCAGGAAGTTAGGAATCCCATGCCTCCAAATGGAAAGTTCTTAACTTGCGTGCAGAGTATGGAAAAGACTAAACTTAACTATGTAATTCCCGCAGACTAGACACTATTATAATGCATTATTCAAAGGAATTATACATTCTATCTCTCCTCTAGTTACCGCACACATTTTGTGTCTCACAGAAATGCGTCGCCATTTGGACACGCAACTGGACTCGGCCTGAGCTAGCTCCTCATCCTGCTTGGCGCACCGTTTTATTTATAATATTTACCTAACATATTGATTTTGGGCTTTTCGACCCTTTCCCTTAATCAAATGAGAGTTGCGACTTGTTTTTTTGGTGGCTTCCGAGGGATGATGGTTGCCGGCGAATCAATAATGTCCAAAAAACAAAGGTGGACTAATTTCAGTTTTTTTTTGTCACTGAAAGTTGGTCGAATGTAAAAGCATTAATCCGACGATTACATCCGATTACGACTATAGTTTGTTTATAGAAATTTGTTCTATTAGTGAAATGGGTAATACTTTGATGTTATGACCAAGAACGTAATCTAATACTGGCACATTTAGCGTTCAGTAAACATAACACCCCTTTTAAGAAATTTTTGTTAATCTATGCTAAACAATTATATTTTATACTGATAGGAACATTTTAAAATATATTTAAATATTTCGATTTTGCCATTCTAACCCATTTCCTTTTATCCTCCAGGTGTACTATGCGACCATATAAATATCTGAGATTACAAACGGAAAAATGGAAGCAATATCGAAGATTTCCCTGATATTGTCTGCCTTGCTATTCATCGTGGTCAATGCAGCAGTGGCCCTCAGCAGTGCCGACAGCTGCCTGGCCACCTACAGTATCGCGGAGGCGTTGTTGGCCCATTCAGCGCGGCCACATAATCCCCAGATAAGGCCTAGGCAAAGGACCTGGCAGGAGCACGAGTTCTCCCTGCTGGGTTACAAGTTTCACCTGCCGTTTGTGGGGCATGCAGTGGATGCGGACTTAGATGATAGTGACAGTGACGAGGGTCTGTGGCTGGACGGTCTGGACGACGGATCGGAGAGCAGGGAGGATGTGGAGGAGCACGAGCTGCATTCTGGGAATCAGCCCGTGGATCCCTCGGCTAACGTGTTCAAGCTGAGCTGCGAGAATGTGGGAGTGGGGCATGTGAACCAGGAGCTGATCTCCCTGAGGAGTGCGCACATAAACTACCACCAGCTAAAACTAGACCACGTGCCAGCGGATCTCGGTGTTGCCCTTCACCTTCCGCAGTTCGAGAGCGTCCATGAGTTCTCGTGGCTGGAGAGCAACCTAACAGATGAAGCGCTGGGGGAGCTCTTTTCCCGCCAAACGCGGTGCTTCGAGAACATGGAGCACCTGGACCTGGGAGAGAATCGTCTCGAGTGCCTCAACTGGGCCATTCCCCAGGTCATGCGCAGTCTGAAAGTACTTAAAATGAGTGGCAACCGGCTGGCCAACTGCAGCCTGATCAACCTGCAGCACATGGCCAACCTGCAAGAGCTGCACATGGACAGAAATGGCCTGACTGCCCTGCCCCAGCGCTTCCTTGGCTCCCTGAGCGAATTGCGCCTGCTGAATCTCAGCCAAAATCAGCTGGCAGAGCTGCCACGGGACATCTTTGGCGGAGCCTTGAAGCTAGAGCGCCTTTATCTCGCCGGAAATCGGCTAATCGTGGTGCCCTTCCAGCTGTTCCAGACGGCACGAGACCTCAAGGTGTTAGATCTCAGCGACAACCGCCTGCTCTCCTTCCCGGACAATTTCTTTGCCCGCAACACGCAGCTCCGGCAGCTGCACCTGCAGCGGAATCAGCTGAAGTCGATCGGCAAGCATAGCCTGTACAATCTGCGCGAGTTGCGGCAGCTGGATCTCAGTCAGAACTCCCTGACCTTCATCGAACGCAAGGCATTCGAGTCGCTGAGCCAACTGCTTTCGCTGAATGTGTCCAGCAACAACCTGACCGGGCTGTCCTCCATCATCTTCCAACATCTGCATGCCCTCAAGCAGTTGGATCTCAGCCGGAACCCGTTCAAGCAGCTACCCAGTGGCCTGTTTCAGGCGCAGCGCTCCCTGGTGCTGCTGCGCATCGATGAGACCCCCATTGAGCAGTTCTCCAACTGGATATCGCGTTTCGATGAGTCGCTGGTGGATCCAACGATACTCCATCGCCTGCGTTACCTCTCCCTGCAGCAGAATCCGCAGCTAACGCAGCTGCCCGCGACTCTGTTCGCCAATACTCGGAACCTTAAGGAGCTACTGTTGGCCGAAAACGGACTGCTGCAGCTGCCCACACAGATCTCGGGGCTGTCGCGACTGCAACGGCTCAGTGTGCGGGGGAACCGTCTGGGATCGCTGCCCGAGGGCCTGAAGGAGCTCCGGCAGCTGCACTACCTCTACATACTGGGCAACGAGTACCAGTGCGACTGCAGCATGTACTGGCTGACTGCTTGGCTGGTCAATGGCAGCACCAGTCTGCGACGTCAGCCTCACTCTCAGGGACTGGACAATAGTCCAAATCCTAGCCAAACACCGCTGGACTCGTACGAGAGCATCGACGACCAAATCGAGGCGTTGAAGTGCCAATACGGCTATCCGGGCGACATGCTGCGCGTCCTGAGCAACCTCAACTGCAGTGTGCCCTCGGTGGTGCAGTTTTCGGAGCCAAAAATGCACAAGCTTCTCTCCACCGCCAAGCTGGAGTGCCAGATCTCCGGCAGTCCCGTGCCGGACATTATCTGGGTAAGTGATCCATGCAGGCCTCTATTCATATGGAGATTTAGTGATGAATATAATGATGAATAATAAATAATAATTGTATAATTGAAATCAACAAAGATCATTAACAAATTTCGTTTCTTTTTGAATTGGGGATTCAAGCATGGAAATAACTAACAATAAATACTCTATTCTTTTAAATTTTTAGTTTTAATATTCAAAGTAACCTACTAGAATAATCTGACAAAACCCTAATGATCTCTTATATCTTTTCAGGTTACTCCCCGCAATAAGATTCTTCGACACCATGCCGACCCGGACAAGCGGCCCATTATCATTGATAGCAAGGAGGACGACCACCAACCGCCAAGTGCTCAGGAGCTGGCCGCTTTAATGGATGAAAGTTACATTCAGTCGCTAAACCTGACACGCCAGCAGAGTCTGGTAGGTCAGCGCGTGGTTCTCGTGGAGAATGGATCTCTTCTGGTGCACAATATCTCCAGAATAGACAGCGGCCTGTACACCTGCTATGCCTTCAATGTGATGGGCAAAGCCTCTGCAGGATTGAGGTATGCCTTCATTATTTGTTGTGTTAAATTTTGGCATTAAAAAATGTCTTTGTTTTTTTTTACAGACTGTACATCGATCCCATAGTATTCTACCGGGTGAAGATTGGCAGCATACTATTTGGGACTGCCCTGGCCACCGCCTTCCTGCTGCTCACTTTGACGGTTCAGGGCTTGAGGAGATGCCTGTCCCGCTGGGGCATCTTTGACCGATTTTACTGTTGCGCCAATCGTAACAAGAAGTCGCCGCGGCCACGTCAAATCTACGCTATGCTGGACAGCATCGAGACGTACAAAAGCCAGCAGCTGGAGCGATTGCGCGAGAACTACGCCCAGCAAGTGCACCGCATCCGCGAGAACTGTGTGCAGCAGGTGGAGTGGATACAGAGCAGCTACACCACTCAGGCCAAGCACATTCGCGAGTTCCGGGACATGGGCTCGAACCATTTGACGGCGCTGAAAGATCAGTACTACGACCAGGTGAAGAAGGTGCGCGACTACTCCACCGGCCAGCTGAGCTGGGTTAGAGAGAATTACGTCTTCCAGCGTAACAAGATCCGGAAGTTCAGTGCCCACCAGGTGCTGCGCCTCCGCGAGGGCTACAAGTACCAGCAGCAGACGCTGAACAAGGTGCTGGAAAATCTGCCCAGTTTCTACTTTGAGAATTGCCGCGGGCGCTGTGAAGAGGACATTGCAGAGGGTAAGATTTTCCAATTCCCATAGGGACTCTTGGCTAACTAATGCCCCGCCTTTCCAGACATAGACTGCTATTTCAAAGGACAAATGGACTTTGCCGGCTCCAAGGAGCTAAACATACAGAAAATTAAAGGACGCCTATCTGCCAATTACTCGACCAGCAAGGCATCCATTTACTACACCCCGCCAGAGGACGACCTGCTGCACTGCTCCCATCTAAATCTGCAGACCTCGCCCATTCACATCAACTACATCGACGAGAATCTCGACCAGCAGAAGCAGCTGGAACGAGACTTCAAGATGGAACCGCAGCTGCTGCTCTACAATACCCCGATGCTCTATCTGAATCCCGAGGGAGCGAGCAGTAGTGGCCAGGCGGCGGCCATGGCGGCAGCCATTGCCCTAGCACAGAGCATTAGCGTGGAGGACAACAATCAGGCGCAGGAGTTGCAGCCGCTGAGGGAGTGCAGCGACCACTTGGACCTGCCAGAAATGAAGGACTCGAACGACGTGAAAAACTCAAAATCGTGTCCGGCCATTTACAAGGTGTCCAAGCAGCGCGACGGCAGCACAGTCCACGAGCTACAGAAAGAGGGTGAGGAGCCTTACCAAATGCTACGCGTGAATCCCGTTGAGACCACTACGATGCCGACGCAGACGAGGACGGAGAAGCTAAACATTGTCCTGGATAAGTCTGACAAGGCGGATCAGCCATCCGATGGAACGGACAGTGCAACTCCGCCGTCCCTGTCCAGTGGCGACTCCAATAGTTCGGATGCCAGTTGCGGCGATGTGTGCCAAGCGGCTATCCTTAAGCAGTTCCCTCCCCCAACCCCTCCTGTGGCAGATCCTGCCAGCACCTAGAGATTTTTTTAATAATTTTAAATTAGTAATGGAAATAACGAAAATATATAAAAATTGTAAAGAAAATGTAACACACATCCGCTAAAGAACTTAAAGTTAATGATTACGATTTACGATTTACGGTAAGGCAGCAAACAATAATTACCATATAGAGTTAATTAGCGAAACAAATGAATTAAAATGCTGAACACACATACGAACAGAACGGTATCAAAATTCAAAAAGGAATTTAAAATCGAGGTTATTACACTCACCCTCCTGGCATCTATCTAACGCTAAGGTATCATCATGTCAATAATACTTGAAAAGAGCCCCCATTTGTGATTTCATTCTACATTTACGTACATTTACGAGTATAGAGCATCAAACAAAACTATAAAAGGGACGAGAGCAGGGCGTATTTTAAAATGAAACCGACAAATCTTAATCAAAAACCTGTACGAAAAATATAAAAATAAAATAAAATGTTTACTATAAAGTATATTTTTTTGTATTGAGTTTATTTATTTACATCCTGTTTTCTAAAGCTGCATTAGTCTATATTTATGAGTAAGCCGAGTGTATCCAAGGTCCAAGGTTTGATCTTGTCTAGGCAATTTGCTTGTCTCCTTCTTTGTGTAATCGTGGATATGATATTTGTTTTTGTTAATAGTTAGGTATCAACGAGAAGGGTATTGTAGAAGATTGAGATGACTGTTAGAGAAAACAAATTTAACGTATCTGTTGATATCCAAAAAGGTTGATGGTAGGATATGTAATCAAAGGAGATATTGTAACACTCTTGATAGACTTAATATGTTTGATTTATGATTTATTTACTCTTTAACAGAAATAGCAACAAAAACGTTAGAAAACTGGCCGAAGGAAAAGACCCCGACCTAGGGCTCGGGGCACTCGGGCTGCTTAAGGATCTCTATGGCGCACGGATTGGCATCAATCTTGCACACCTCGCTCTCGGTCTCCACTTCGCTGAGGTCGTACTCGCACTCGCACGGGAAGCACTCTACTTCGCCACCTTCCTCGCCCTCGGCCTCCTCTCCCTCGCCATACCAACTGATCTTCTCCTCGCTTTCAGCACTTGGCATCGTGGACAAGGAGCAGACGGAGAGCTCGGAATCGGAAATGGCCAGCGGCACCGGCTCTTGGGGCAGCACAGCAAAGTCATAAACGGCTATATCCTGGGCAAACCATAGAGTTGGATCCATGGGTGTCTCTAAAACGTTTCCATCCTCATCCTCATATGTTCCTTCATTCTCGCCGTCTTCGCCAATTGCCTTAAAGTTGTAATTGGCCGGCAGGAAGTAGCCCACCAGCATATATCGATTATTGAAGCTGAAGACCGCGGGCCCACTCGGATATAGGGTATCCCAGATACCGTGGAGGACGGTGCACTTGTCATCATTGCCGATATACAACTCAAAAGGTCCCATTCGTATGTTACTGTTCCAGGTGGACTTCAATCTGACGGACATGCAGCAGGCATCGGGGCCGCTCTTGAAGGTGTAAATGCCAACACCATGACGCTGACCCTTGTGCCAGTCGCCGGAGTAGGTGTCCCCATTGATATAGTTGTACCGACCCTTGCCATGTTTCAGGTGCTTGCGCCAGTTGCCCTCGTACACGGATCCATCCGGGTAGATGAATATGCCACGTCCGCAGCGCTTCCCGCAGCGATATTGTCCGTAGTATCGTGATCCGTCCTTAAACACATATAGTCCAATGCCATGTCGCCGTCCTTTGCGGTAGTTTCCATCGTACTGGTCCCCGTTGGGCAAGATAGCCCAGCCCCGGCCGTGTCTCTGGCCAGCCGCGTTGCGGCCACCTATATAGAGCTGGGAAAAGGGAGCAGGAAGAGTGAATCTTTATAGCTAAAATCTTTTCAGATAAATAAAAGGATTTCGAACTGGACCTGACCCTCGGTTTCGTTGAATACTTAAGAAACTTACTCCTATGTTGGGTCCCAGGTCCTCCTCCTCTTCAGGCGCCGACAGCTCCTCCTCTGAGATCTCGGAAACGCTCATTGTGATTTTGAGTTTTAAGTTATATTTATTGACGAGAGAGAAGTACAGATTTTTACTTAAACTTATTTTCGGGAACTATTGTGTGGATCTGTCTGTATATAGAGTTAACTTAGCCAAGGCTTACTACAATAAATATCAGAATCAATATCGAATACAGCTGATCCTGCAACAAGGGCTACGTTTCTGCATAAAAATAGTTAGCCAGCGGATAGCGTATGGCCAGGGCAATCAGCGTGCACAGCACCTGGAAACCCATTAGCATCTGTGTGACCACACGCTCATGGACTGGCCCGAACACAACCAGCACAAAGTTGATGAGGGTGAAGTTATTGGTCCGGACAAGACCGTCCGCTTTGGTATGCCAGCTAATTAGTCGCAGCTTCCGCAGCACAGTGACCATTAGACGACCCGGAGCATTAAGATCTTCCAGCTTGAACTCCGTGGTGCTGATGTGCAGCAGGTCCGTCTTGTTGTCGTACTTGGGCAGTCGGTGCCGGGGGCAGGGGACAAAGTGGAACAGCTGGGGCGTGGAGTACAGAAAGTTCAGGATCTGCGGCAGGAAGAATAGCAGCAAGGTTTTGCTGAAGTGTCCCAAAATGCCGACCACAGCGAAGGTCATGCCCGCAAAGTAGCAGTAGGTGTCGCCAACAAACACCTGTGAGGGGTATCTGAAAAGAATATACAATTCATGTTAAAATCTATGAAAACCATGATAAATAACTTATTTTAAAGCTTTTAGCTTTATATAAAAAACAAGAAAGAAAGCTAACTTTGGCCAGCCAAAGTTTGTATACCCTTGCAGGTTAAAATTAAAATATATCATAAATAAGCCAAAATGCATTAAATTCGATTCGGAAAGCGGTTTTGTGTTAGTTTTTATAAGCCTAAAAAAATTGCATACCAAATTTAAAATTTTAAGAAATCAAAATTTTTGGCAATTTTTGCTAATTTTAATGATGTAACCCCTTATCAAATTTCGCAAAAATGGCCAAAAAATCGATTTCTTCCGGACATATCTAGAAAGATTCCCCTGTTAATGCTGATCAAGAATATATATGGTTTATGGGATCGGAAATGATTCCTTGGCTTAGAAAAATATTATTTCGTATTATAAAATCGTATTTTTTATATTAAAAAACTTCTTGATTTTTTTTTTAATTAAAATATCATAACTCGGCCAAAAGAGCATTAATTTTAAATCGGAAAACTGTTCTGTGCAAGATTTTCTACAGTTAATAAATCTGCATACTTCACTTAAAAATTTTGAAAATTCAATTTTTTATCAAAATCAAAAATTTTAATGATGTAACCCCTTATAAAATTTTCCAAAAATGACCAAAAAATCGATTTCTTCCTAACATATCTAGAAAGATTCCCCTGTTGATGCTGATCAAGAATATATATACTTTATAGGGTCGGAAACGTCTCCTTCACTGCGTTGCAAACTTCTGACTGAAATTATAATACCCTGCAAGGGTATAATAAATAATTAATGTTAATATTTTTGTTATAAGTCCTTTATTTGATAATTATGTTAAAACCTATAAAAATCATGATAAATAAACATTAAAGCAATAATGGTTAAAAAAATAAAGTTTTATATAAAGTTTGTTTTAATATTTTTTATTTATTCATTTATATTTATAAATCCCTAATTCCATAACTAATTCTGCAACTCAAATTCTAAATAACAGTAATTTACAGCAGTGTTGTAAACTACCAAAAGGCCCAGCACCATAGCTTTATTTAGCGGAAAAAAGCCAGAATCCCACTGCACCGCCGAACAGCTGAGCAGGGAGGACATTTCGCGACAGCTGTGCGGGGGAGGAAAACAGACATTTTTGGGCGTGTTAAGAAGCAAAGCAAACGCGAAAAAGGTACAGGAAATTTAAGAAAAATGAACAAGTGAATGTGCAGAAAGTGCACTCAAAACGAAACATGGTGAGGAGCACCATCACCCTGATGCCCTCGCACTCGCTGGCAGCGGGAGCGTCCATTGGACGCCTGGCTATAACCAAGAAGCTAGTGCTCTGGTCAGTGCTGGTGCTCCAGGTGGGCTTCATTGGCTGCATCTGGCTGCTGCAGATGGGCCACGGTCCACAGGAGCAGCAGCAACAGCGGAATGCTCTGGAGCAGATCGGCGGCAGCCGTGTGAACTTTGTGTCGAGCGGTCTTAGTGGGGAATCTGGGAAAGCTCCCCTGGATAGGACAACCCACTGCCCGCGGCAGCACGAGAATGTGAATCGCTACGACAGGGACTTTTACCAGATGAAAACTGAAATGGAAAGACTGAACGAATCCCACCCACCGCCAGACTACGATGTGCCCGCGTATGTAGACGCAGAGATGGGTCCGACACCGGCCCTTTGGTGCTACCGCGAGGGCACCATCAACGAGACCGTGAAGATGAACGATGTGGACTACCTGATGGCTCCGCCGCAGTGCAAGTGTGCCAGCGGTTGGCATGGCAGGGACTGTGGCCAGCCGGAGATCATCTGGCGAGCCCTGATGACGCACAGCCGGACGAGCAAGCGGGGCGGAAGCACACCCCTGCAGCTGGTCGAGGCCAGTTCCAGTTCCCTGCACCGCCTCTTCTACATGCTCGAACTGGGCGCCTGGGAGCACATCAGTCTGGAGCTCTTGGAGCTGCAAATTCGAGCCCTTCTCGAGGTGGTGGACTACTTTCTCGTCTACTACGTGAGCAACGGCAGTAAGGAGCGGAATCTGGAGAGCTTGCTGGGGCGCCAGACTAGCTACATGCTGCTCCGCTGCTCCTCGGAGAGCAACTGCAGCAGTTCGCTGGCCTACAGCCACTTCAGGCGCCAGCTGTGGCTCCAGTGCGGCCTCCAAATGCAGGCCCAGGATCTGCTGCTACACGGAGACAGTCGGGCTGTTTATGCGCCGACAGCTCTCAAGTTCCTCAAGTACTATGCCAAGGATGTGCTGCCCCTGAGATTCCGGCTGAAGTACAACGTGTACGGCTTCTACTGGCAGCACCCGAAGAAGACCCTGCTAAGCGGGGTGATAAGTTCCTTGGGGCACCTGCACAACGGTGCCCAACTGGATGCCCACCGGCTGCAGCGAATGGCGAGCGGCACCCTGGGCGACCTCAATCACTATGGCGGCTGGAGCTGCGAGCTATGCCTACCACCCGAGCAGATTGTGCTTCGGCTGCAGGGCGCCAGCCATCAGTTACCTGTGAAGCTACCCAACGACACAAGAAACGCGCACATCGATGCCACCTACATGCAGCAGTTGATAGCCAACGGAGTCCACATAGACGGCGCCACGCAGTTGGTGCGACTGCGCGAGCAGAACGAGAAGTACTACGCTCCGGAGGAAGCCCTGCGGCACAGTAGCCAGTTTGGCCAGCTGCTGGTCAATCTGTACGATGTGGACGTGCTGGAGGATCTTCAGGAGGATGACTAACTATGCCCAAGGCGACGCATTATAAGATATAAGATGTATATTTATATGTGCCTGCTTTTGAACCCCCATCTCAAAGTCTAACGATCTCATAATCATCATATCATTACTCTGCCTAATCCCCTCATGCGTGTGCGTGCCCTTCTGTATTTTTGGCCAAGCGAGTTCCAAATTATTAGTATCTCAGCAGACAGGACGACGGACAGACCCGCCATCTGTGATAAGCAAAAAACCAGAACTAAACAAAGAATTTACAAAACGAGAGTGCAACACCAGAGAGATTTGCTGGAATTATGTTGTGACATTGGGTTGAATTTAGCATTACTTTTAAGAGATGAAGCTTTTTAGATTTACTTTAAATATTAATATTATTAGTTTAATATTCTAGGGCTCGAGTATCAGAATTATTACAACTTGTTAACTTGCCAGATCAATTCAGTATTTGTAAAATAAACGGAAAAATAAACAAAATTCAGACTTACTGGTTGAACTTCCACAGCGCCAGTGTGGTGGCCAGGAACGGCAGCATGAAGTAGATGGAGAAGATGTGCGAGTCCACCTGATGTCCCAAAAACAATTCAATGGAATTGAACAGCAATATGGATCCGGCAATAATCAGAGACTGTCCCACCTCCAGGCCATTGATGCCCGCCAGGATATTGATGGCGTTTGTACAGAACACGGCCAGCATGCCCATAAAGATGTAATAGAGAACACCTAATGGAAAACATCAATTAATCCTACATATTTCCCTTTGGAAAGTGATGGGTTACCTATGTTGAGGGAGGTTCCAAAGATGGCCCTTGCAAAGTTGGGCATAATAACCGTGGTGGAGTTGTAGTTGACATAGTAAACCATCAGCAGCGGCAACGTGGCGATGGTGGGCAGGAGCAGCTTGTGGCGCCATCGCAGATCCAAGACGTCGTCGGCAAAGCCCAGGAAGATCATACAGCAAATGGACAGCAGGGCAGCAATCAATTCCACGAACTACGAAAAGATAAATATAAATATGTTGATAAGGCTGCGAGCACCTGACGACGTTGTTGTTTACTTTATCATGTGGAAAGGTATCGGGTTTTCCGCCAGTTACCGCATCCGTGGCAGCCGCCTCATCGAAGGCAAAGGGAACGGGTATGAACATGAACAAGGAGACCAGGAACACACAGCCAATCAGCACGCCAAAGGATTCGGGACTGCAAAGGGTAAATACACATATATCTTGTACAAATCCTCCACAAAGGAGACTAAAAACTTACACCTGTGGCTTGTCCTTTTTGCACAGATCGTTGCCGAAGAGATTGGCCTTGATGAACATCTCCCGGAAGCGGGGAATCATCCGCACCGTCATGCAGTAGGCGGCGCCCGAGATGGCTGCATTTATAAGTATGGCTGCTCCAGACATGGTCAAGACCTTGGAAACGCGGCACTAATTCAATTAGCAGGCTGACCAGGCTCTTAACTTCACCTTCCGGAAATGCAAGAAAGCCACGCAGAGCAGTGTGTGCGCTGACTCAACCGGTAAATTGGGAATCCGGATACGGCTTGGATCACTCGATCATGGCGCAAGAAAGCAATTACGCCGACAAAGTACACGCAATTCCAATTGCTGATAACAACAAAACACAGCTGTTCGGCCGCAGTGTGACCGGGCTAGGTGCAATTTTGGGATTTTGTATATAAAAAACAGTGTGGCCAAAATAGGTTTTTATATTGAGTTTCGTTAAAAATGATTTTTTTAAGGTTGAGGGGCCAATTTTCAAAAATTTGTTATGGGAAAACGGCTGAAGTTAGCTTATTAAATTAAATTCAATATAATAACAGCACTTGAACAATTTTGTGTTAAATTTTGTAATGAAAAATATTTATAGGTATATAAGTTATAGGGCATCTTCCGAGTGCCCTCCAAAATAAGTTGGCTTATGATGCATTTTATGGTACCTGTAGAATTAGTTAAGGAAGTTAAGTTAAATTTTAAAATATCTTAAAATATTGGAAGAAAAAAATATATAAAAATAAAAATTAAGTTTCATACCACCCTCTTAAGTTGATATTTAACAATATTTTAACGTTAAACATTTTGAAACCATCTAAAAAACTCAACATAAAATGTAAGGCTTCCATTCAATATACATTTTTTTATAATCGATAAATGAAAAACGTCTTAACTTTATTTAATATCAGTGATTACAGCACTTGGACCAACTCCGTTGTTTTTACACATATACATAATTAAAGATCTGTTTTAACAAAATAGCAATTGGATGATGAGCGTAAAAATACTTGTTCTTTTCGAGCTTCCTTGGTTGGTTGGTATAGGCTTATATAGGCCTTTCTATAAGTATAGTGGCTGGCGGCTATCTGTCCCTGAAGAAGGGAAATGCCTTCTGCAGCTCCGCCTTGGACTTGCAGGCCTCCACCTTGGGCAGAGTCTCCACCAGATTTAGTAGATAGATCTGCAACTGCTGACGCCGTTCCTCCACAAAGACAAGGTTCATGTTCCCGAAATGCTTTTTGGGCGGAAACTCAACGCCACTGACCACCGGATGGGTCTTCAGCAGTGACTTGTGAAGCTTATTGAACTCACTGTAGCGCCTGAAAAGCGTCCAGTGCTCCAGGCGCTGCCTCATCGTGATGTGGATTTCGTAGGTGTAGTGGGAGCCAGATCGCTGGGTCTTTGTCAGTTTGACCTGTGGAATGGTGATCAGGAAGTTCGAGCAGAGCGAGGAGCTGGGATCAATACCCGTCTCCTCGAACTGTTTGGTCAGCCGTCGGATGAGCAGACGGTTCTGCAGATTCAGTTCCGCCACGCGGGTCTCCAGCAAGGCGCATCTTTCGTTTAGTTGGTTCACTTGCTCCTCCATCGCCGTTTGCTGTTGGCTATTAACATGACAATTCGCCGAGGACGAAGACTTGCTCCACTGCGAGGACGTATCGCTGCGATCTTCGAACGGATCTGGGTCTGTCGCAGCCTGTGGGAAGACTTCCGGCAACGGTGTCTTTAGGAACTCCAGCTCCGGTTCAATGGGATCAAAGGGTTCGCAGACACTAATCTCCTCTACCGGTTTGCTCAGCTCCTGGAGCACGGCGTCTTTGGAGAGCAGTTGCTGCACCTCCAAGGATTCAATAGGCTTCAGGGCGCCCAGTAAATCCTCTGTGGAACTGGATCCCTCGATGGGTCGTTCTACGGCCATGCCGGGATGTCGTCTTTGACGCACGGACACAGGGACTGGATTGGGCGCATATATAATGGGCTCCTCCTTGACTACAGGAGCAGCTGTTAATCTCCTGGGAACATTCAGTTCCGTGGTGTCCACATTGAGAGCGAATAATACATCTTTGAGGGAGTCTATGATCTCCGGCAATTTCTTGGCTGCCTCCTCATTAAGCAACAGAGACCAGGGCGTGTAGTAGCGGTGCAGTAGCTCCTCATCGCTCAGCCATGTTAGGACACTGCTGTGCAGGCGCTTCTCGTTCAATGCGGCCCGGATGAAGGCGCGACCACGGCCCACATTGGTCCAGATCTGCTTGAGGTCCGCATACCGCTGGCGTTCGTGGGGCGTCAGATGCTTCTGGCAGAAGTCCCAAAATGTGGCTTCATTGTTGTTGCTGGCAGCACCCGCATTTCCGGTCACCATCTCCTGCATGTTCTGGATAAAGTTGGCGGCGCTAAATGCGGAAGCGCTGCTCGAGGTCTGCCTGAGCCCGTATCCTAGGAGCTCCTCGAGGGAAACGCACAGCTCCTGGACTGACTCGTCTCGCTCCGTGGCTAGCTCTTTTCCACTGTAAGTTTGCGAGATCTGATGCGCACTTTCCTGGAGACGTCTGAAGATGTCCTCGCGTCGTTGGCCAAAGGTACTGCCGCCCAGCTGGGCGCGCATGGTTCGAGCGGCAGCCTCTGTGGGCACCGAGCTGGCGGCATTTTCTGGCATTCTGCTAGCTATTGTTGTTTAACTACTGTGTTTTATTATTTTCACTTCATTGTTGACAACAAACTAGTCGAGCAGTGTTGGTAAGCACGTAAATCAAAGAGTGGGCGCCTTCAGCAGTCCGATTAGTAAATATTGAGGAAGCAATTTCCTAACAATAATGATATTTATTTTGTCTTCCTATTTTAAATTTATATATAAACCAAATCATTTTAAATAATTTAAAATAAAAGTTTAAAAAGCTAGTTATAACACTGCGAAAATTTATTTAATAAATATACTTGTTTCGCCTTGCAAAATTTTAATTATATTATTTACGAATTATTATTAAATACAAATTAAAGAAATCGATTTTATATAAAGTGGTTATTTTTATATATTTTTTTAATATGAAAAAAAACGCCTTTTTTATATTACCAATATTTCCGTTTCTCAATAATCACTGGTAACAATATTCTCCCTGTGAACGCACCCTTTTCCGAAGCCCTGGCGGTTTTGCGGGCAAAAGAATGCCAAAAGATTGTAGCCCTGGCACTTTATTGCCATCCCTGTTCGGCGCAAAGAAGTTAACACACAAAAAACTCGCGTAAACCTTAAATAAAACAATTAAAAATGTGGAAAATCAGGCAATAACTATTGCCAGAAGCGATTAAAACCCAATGCATTGCAATAACGCTCCAAAAGTGTAAGTTCCCAGGCTCGGCAGCGATTTTGTGCGTTTTCTTTTGTGTCCGCGTTTCGTTGTCTGCGCAAACTTCGCTTCATTGACTTTTCGAGCGAGCGCTGCGCTTCGCACTAAAATATAACCCATAATTAAGCTGAATCGGATGTGTTGTGCATTGTTTATTGTCCAGCGGGAATTGCATTTTCTTGTTTTTCGAGAGCAAAAGCATTTTCCCGAAAATCTGCCCGCGGCGGAAGTCGTTAATCACATTTCCTTGCCGCCACCGCCGCTGCTGCCGCCGCCAGAGCAGCGCCCTTTCCACACTCTGCGCAGCAGCTGCGTGCAAAAAAAGGCGAGAAGAGAGAAGAAGGCAAACACAAACAGACAACGAGGAGCAACAGCAGACGGGGAATCGTCCAGGAATTGTTGCCCATATGGCCGAGACCTGTGACTAAGGATATTATTGACAGCTAACATTCAATTAAAAGGAGGAATCAACACAATGTGAAGCAGATTTTATATATATTATTTCGTTGTTTTTTAACTCTTGTGACTTGTTTAAGAAGTTTTTATACAAATTTTACAAGGGGCTATTATTTATAATATTTTTTTTTAAACAATACTTTAAGAAATGTTTATAAAAATGTTAATATACTACAAATTTATTTTCAGCGATTCTTCCAATACCGTAGAAGGAGGCGACACTGCAATAAACAGCAATAGAATTGTTTTCAAGAACCTTAGGATAAACCCCCTTGTGCCGTTCCATAAATGTTTTTTATAATTAAGTAAGCCATCATTCAGCGTGTCATCCGGTAATCGCCCGTTCGTTCACAATGAATCCGGCCGAAATGCGCATGATGTGGATGAGTAGTCAGTATAACTCGGAGCGCATTACCTTGGAGGATGCGGCCACTCTACTGGGTCATCCCAATGTCGGACTCTCTGTCATGGAGGACATCTCTGCACATCAGACCACTTTGGTGAGTTGTTAGCCAACCAACTTGGTCCGATACTACCAGCCAATCTCTCAATTCGAAGACTAGTAAATATAATTAAGAGATGTCATTATATTTGATAGTCATCGGAGTCGCAAGCAAACCCAAATTCCTAGGCTTTAATAAGTACTCTTTGTTGGGGATTGGCCAACCACAATAACACATTTTTGTCTGTCTCAGTTGAACAAAATTGGAATTCGTTTACTTATTTCTTCTACTTTCTTTTCTATGATTTATGTATTGGTTACAATTTAAAAAACTCGACACAAAAAACACACAAAATCCAATGAATGAATGAACCTCAACCAACCAACCAAACAACCGACCAACCTCAAATCTCCGCCTCTCCGACTTCGCTCTATGAAAAGGAAATGAATCCGATGATGAGCCTGATGGGGGGGGATTTTACCGGTCAGGCGGCGGCGGCTGCTGCGGCGCTGGGCGTGCAGCCGGGCACCCTGATAGCCACCAACTCGAACAACCTGTACGGATTCGCCCATATGGGCAGTCTTCAGCAGCAGTTGCTCCAGCAGTCAGCGGCGGCGGCCGTCTTTCAAAACTATGCCGAGGTAATGGACAGCGATGTAGACACCACCGGCATGGTTGGCATGGCCACGGACGCCGCATCTTTAATGGGCGTCGATGTAGGCGTTGGCCAGAGCGTTGTGGACGACGATGATCAGGGCTATGGTCAATTGGACGATGGCTACGACGATGGCGGCTCTGGGCTGGAGCCGAAACAGGAGATCATCAATATCGACGACTTTGTGATGATGAACGAGGACAACAATTCATACGATGGCACCGACTTCATGACCTCCTCGGACAAGGACATATCGCAGTCCTCCTCTTCCTGCATGACCCAGTTGCCCGGCGGCCTAGGCGTCACCGGAGTTGAACATGACCTTCTGGTTCCGCTGGCCGACGGCCTGCTGCATCACAAGCTGCTGGGCACCACCCTGGCCCCGGCGATGACCACGCTCAATGGCAATGCATTTGGCAATATTATGGTCAACTCGGAAGCTCCCAAGCAAATACATCGCAGCACTTACGGCCTGACCAAGGGCAG